ATAATGAATAACTAGCAAAAATCATTGAATATTAGTTATTTTAAAAAATATATTCTTTATACCCAGGCCTAAGCATTGTAAGTAAAAATTTTACAACCAATCAAGCAATAGGATTTAGTATTTTAGGAACAAGTGCTGTTAGTGTAGTAGTTGTAGTAGTGTAGTGGTTGGTAGTCTCTAGTAGTCTAATCTGTTAATGTTCGTTAGTGTTATCTGTTATTTATTTTAATTAGTAATTAGAATTAGTAGTTTAGTTTTAGCTTAATTATTAGAGTTTAGTAATTTAATTACTAATTAGTCGTCGTTAATGTTGTTACGTTACCCTTACCGGTTACATTACAGTTAATCGTTAACGAGTCAAGTGTTAGAAGAGTGGTTCACAAAAAATTTTTTTAATTTAAAATGCAAAAACCGTCATACAGCAATATCTATCCTAAAACAGCATCTAGTATCACCTTTCAAAACATTTTAAACAAAAGCAATATTCCGAAATTAGTAAATAAACGATCGTAATTTTAGACTTGGGCGATAAAAAATCACCCTCCAATTTCCCTCCGGAAGTAAGCTCCTTGCTCGACCGTCAAAAATGAGCGAAGGCCGTTATATTTATTCTAATTATATGGTTAGGGCCATATCTAATTACAATGATTTAAAAACTTTAGAGTTAGAGCTGGGGTACATTTTGTCAATTCAAGATTCATACTGTACAGCTAAAAAACTGTTATACAATAAATTGAAATCAGGACCAGATTAAGCCTTTTTCGAGCCTTAGACAAAATACAAAATCTGGGCACACAGTTTTTGACAACAAATGATTTGTCACAAATCAGTATAAAATACTAACTTTATTTTAAATTATTTTATATTTTGTTAATTGTATAGTTATTTATGTTATTCAGTTTTTTACAAATTACATAATTTATTTTGTTTTAATCACAGAATCATTGTATTATACGTAGGAATTGAACCTAACTAATTGACTTAAACGTTAATTTAATAATTTGCGCATTATGTAATAAAATAAACGCGTTAACGCTTTAACTTTGTTTTCCATTTGCGAGTTTATTGTTCAAGTCGACAATCATAACATTCAAATCAATTAAGCCAAAAAATACTTTGCGTAAATTTGTATATATTTATTAACATTTTGTATTTTGCTTGACATAAGCAGCAAATTTTCATCACATACCTAACGCAAATAAAATCTTGGCTAAAATCTAGCCCGCAATCAAAATTAATCTGATTTTTTAAATAAAATGTGATAAATTAAATTGTTTAATATTAACGTTGCTTTTTGCTTTCAGTAAAGTTTTTAATGGAAGAAAAATGACAGGGCGATGCAAGTATTAAATAAAATGAACTCTCATATTCAATACATTTTTCAAATAACTTTTTGAAAGATGAAGATTTTAGATCAAATCCCGATTCTTTTGAAAGCGGTTGTGATAGGGATGTGATAAAATGACGTTTTGATCAGAATGAAATGTATGTCATCAGAAATCTCTGCCATTCCAAATAAGCTTTTGAATTTTATAGACAATCACTTACAACGTTTTTTCTGATGAAAAATACTTGGAAAATTTTTTATTAAGATTTGTACACTAATGTACAAGTTCAAAAATTATTCTCTATTTTATAGATAGCTAGCGCATTAGAACAAAATATGTACCTAAATATACAATAAAAGATAAGGACTTGAGCAAGGAGAAACTGAATGAGCAGCAGAGTTATCTTTAAAAGATTAAAAACAGAGAGACTATACATACAGTTAAATTATTTATTAGATCCTATTTTAACTATGCCTCCTGGTCGATGATATTCTCTTATATTAATTTATGTTAAATATTTTTTTGCTAATCTGCCTACATAAACCTTTTTTGGTTTTTTTCCAGAACTGTCTTCTTTTTTCTCAAGCTACTTCTCCATACGTGCTGATCACGAAACGCATCTGTTTGCTAAAGTTATCGAGAAGTGCTGCTGAACATCACGGGAACGTGACTTTGACTTACGAAATAAGTTAATTAAATTTTAATTGAATGGATGGTTGAATAACTGAACTAGACTACTATATGGAGCTTGTCGACAATGCTACTCTCGTTCCAAGGAAAGTTTATAATAGTTAATACGAATGAAATATGAAAATGTATGAAAAACGATTGAGACATCTTGATTCACCAATTGACGTTGTGTTTTGGTACTAATTTAATTTTCATTATTTATATTTATTATGTGATTTAACTGTTATTTATTTTTGTTCATATAATTTATGGGAACTTTCTGTTTATTTATTCTTTTTTCCTATTTCAACTTTGGATTTTGACATTGAGCTACTTTTGAGCATAAGAACTCTATGCTAGCACTTTTTCCATTACGTTTTTAGGTTAGGTTATGTTAATGCTAGTATTTTTATCAACAAGTTAATAAAACAAAGTAATTTGAAAAAAAGGTGCAACCTTAGGAATAAATGCTATAGGCTTCTCTAGGTGACCTTAACTAAACATAAAGTGTAAAACACAAGCACCATGGAAATTACCATAATGTATGTTCTTCCCACTAACATAAGTATTACCAGCAGCAAGAGCGACATTGGTGTGACAAATTCATTACATTAGAAATGTAATTTTCTGGCAAATTTTATGATTGATTATAAATTTACACTAACATTCCATAGAGCCAGGCGCCACTGATGTGTGTAATTAATTAGTATATGAATTGCGATATGTGAGTCAAAGCCCGTAAAATAACAAATCAGAATATTTTTTACATACGTATAAATAAATATAATATACGTTCTCAGAATAAATATGCATAGAATATTTTTCACAACTTGCCATTCATAGCTTTCCATCAGTTCTTTCTCTTCCTTGTATATCCTGCTCGTTTATTCTGCTGTCAAACGTGAATGTTGCATGTGTGATTAGTAGTAGTTTGTTTCGTGAAGGCATGTTGTTACAATAATTTGTTTGTTATGTAATTTAGAAATATTTTTTATAATTTTCGCAATTAATTTTCTGTCCTATTAATAATAATTTTCTACAAATTCAACTGCCAATTAAGATTCCCTGACACGTTTAAAATTTTTTTTTTCTATAAAAAAAAACTTAAAAAGGAAGCTCACCACTCATTAACCACGTAGTAATAATATATAAATAATAATTGTTTACCTAATAATTTTGAATTTTAATTAATTCAAAATACTTTTTATATTTATAACTATAATTTAAAAAGAATGTCATTGTCATAAACATTAAAAATCAGATTAACATTAATTAAAAAAAACAAGTGAGTGGGTGTGATTTTAGTTTTTTTACCTATTTTATTTTGCCTTATGTAACCTTGCTAACATTAATTTTTTCTTAAATTGTGTGAGTTTAGGCTTTAGTTAGAGTATTGCAGATTAGCATTCATTATAAATGATTATTATATTCATTCATTTTATTAGTAGATCATTATATTAGATTCATTATTATAGATTATACAATACATACAAATACATCATACATAAGAGATCTATCTGATTAGCATTATGGTTAAAAATATGATCATGGATAAATTTTTAAACTTCCAAAAATAGGAAGAATCAAAATGTGTTACAATTTATTTATTGGGCTACATGATGTCACATTACATTTACATTTACTTTACATTAAAGTTAAATGATATTCATGATTGATTCTTCTTATAGGTCATATGATTCAGGCACATAATTTGATTTGATAATGATCATGTGCATCTAAGAGTAAGAGTATATATATATATATATATATATATATATATATATATATATATATATATAATATAAACATTTTGTTATAAAAGTAAACCTTTACTGTACTATAACCCAAAAATAACATGGTTCAGGTTTCAAAACTTTAAGTTTTCTTTTAAACTTGATATATTAAGGTGGTAAAAGCAATGCTTCAACAGTTCCAAAGTTTAAATGTTAAATTTGTAAACAGACATTAATTATATGCTTTTAATATTAAAATCCTTATTATATGTTTAATTATTGAACTCAGATGTTACTATTAATTCGTATTTATATTCATTTTAAAAATTATACATTTTAATTGACTTTTATCCTTATGCGAGTCTAAATCTGAAATTTGTTTAAGGTTAAGTTTAAGGGTTACTTAAATTAAAGGGGTTGCTTAAAGGGTTACTTAAACACTTTCAAAAAAGTGTTTGTGGGGTGGAACTTCTTGATGTTTGGCCAGAGTCTGGTTGAGCCATATATTTAAATAAGATATCTATTCAGAATGCTTCAAAAAATATTTTAGGTACCTGAATTTATTTATTTATATTAATAATAATATAATGAACATTTATTTATAATTATGTTAATCTGCCTATCATTTATTTTTATTTATTAACTTAGTATTATCAGACATTTGACACATTTACATATTTTAGGGACATAATGTTTTATTTTGACATATATATAAATCAATAAATTCAGATTAATTTTTTTTATTTCCAACAAGTTTTATTAGCAATCATATCCTCATGCAAATGAACTACACAAAAGCTATCAATTAAACTGCATCCACTCTTTACATTTTAACATAAATGCTGCATACTAGAGGATAGCTAGTTTTTACTGTATTTTGAAATTATATCTGGCCAGGCAGGACAATGACTGGATAATATAAAATGCCTGTATATCTAGTTAGAGCCAGTCAATTTAAATGTCTCACTGGCTTCAGTGATTAAGCTTTTATGTGCCAGATTCATTTACTTATTAAATTACATATTAAGATGTCTTATTCTTTTGGTATATGGTGTTTAAGCTAGTAAAATTATTATTTGTGAATGTAGATTTTTGTCCCTTTTAATTTTATTTTTAAAAATTATGATCATATTTCTTGTTTTAAAAATTTAAATTATTTAATTGTTAACTAAGATTTATATCTGTTTTTCAGACAACAAAATTTAGAGAAAGTGTTTTTTGGAAAATTTCTGCACTCTTTTTTTAGCTCTTCATAGCCGTCATAACTAATATGACGGGCGTAGTTTTGGAATCAAATAGTGCTTCCATGAAACCGCCAGATGGCGGGTGGGGCTGGGTGGTGTGTTTTGCATCATTCATGATTCACGTACTTGCTGATGGAATATCATTTTCATTTGGTATTTTTGTTGAAGAGTTCGGTGAATATTTTGAATGTGGTAAGGGGTCCATAGGAATGTTGGGTTCACTCATGCTTGGTGTTACTTGGAGTACAGGTTTATTTTTTTTTTAAATTTCCAAAGTGCTATTTCAAGCTGGTCATTTTTTTGTCAAGTGTCACAGATATTGAAATCTAGTTTTTTATATCAATGATTCATTAATAAATGCAGCCTTGTCTGAGATGTTCGAACCAGTCAACAAAAAATTTAAATAATCAATTATTTTTTCAATTTTGTTACATTGAATAATATCAATTATTTAAATTTTTTACAAACAATTGAACACCAATGAAGTAAATTAACATATGAAATAAATTATTCTATTTTTTGAGATGTATTTAGATGTGAGATTCAAATCATTTGAAAAAAATTATATGATTATTTTTCAACTGTTTTGTTCTTTCAATATTTCTTCTTATTGCTGGCTATTTATTTTTATTTCATTTTAAACTGACTATAAATAAAAATTTATGGTTATAACATTAATGCGAACCGTTTGAATAGACAGAGTTATATTAAATATATTGGCTCTTGGGTCATTATAAATAAATAAAAATAATAAACACAGTATATGGTTTTCAGTAATTTAGTTGCAAATAGTTTCACTGTTTGGTTGATAGTTCAGTGCCATTTGTTATCAACGATGGAAGTTTTTTAAATTAACAAAATATTTCTGTCTGTGGCGTTTATTGTACTAGATCCAAGTCAATGGACTTCAAAATGCAAATAGCTGTGGGACATTTGACTTGAAGCAATCATTACTATTTAATTTCTTTCCCATCACCAGATTTGAGATTTGAATGATCGCTTCTCAAATTGTTGTCTCTAGAAACTGTTGATCTTTTTTCATATTTACCGAACATATATTTAGGCAAAAATTCGTTGAAAAACAAATTTTGAATATTCGTTTTTTAACATTCATTCAATGCAGATCATTCAATGTTTGAGCGACATGATTAACCTTTGAGCTTCCAACAACTTTTACAGCTCCATTTTGAGTAAATTGAAGAATTGATATTTATTAATTTTATTGGGGAGATTGTAAAAAATGCAATAGTCCAGTCAAGCATAAATGAGAACATGTAACAAGGTACGCTTAATAGATTCATCAAGATATTTGGGATTGCATTACAATCTTTGCAACTGGTCCGAACATAATGACGAAAGCATTTTCAAGTGATTTTTTATTGACAGTTTTGAATCCAATACAATACCCAGGTTAATGGCATGGTCACAAAATTCGATATGCCTGTCATCGACACACAACTGAATTTTTGCTGATCTTAGCCAGAACAACATCTTTTTCAAAATATGAAGGTTTTTATCTCGCACTCTGTAACATTGAAAAAATATGAAAACAAATTTTCTAAATCAATCCTGTTACCGCCAAAAATTTGGCTATCTGATTCATCAAAAGATGATCTTATTCTAGCAGTTTTTTTTTTTAAATTAAAAAACCGTTCAGACGTCAAATCATGAGACTCATCATTATCATCATGTTTGCAGATAACTTTGTTAGCAACGTTCTACGGATTGTTTGAACTATTATTGTTTCCTTTAACCAATCTGCTCCAAAATTGTTTACTTTTTTCAGCAAATACTTTTGGTTGTCAAAGCATTAGACCATATATTTTTGTCATCTTTATTAAGATTTTTTCTATAGTTTCTTTCTAATTTTCGATAATATCGTTTATTTTGCTGTCGTTACCCTGCGTCAAATGACAGCTCATTGGATCAGACGGGGGCGGAGCCAATATGCTTGTTGTGATCGGGCTCAGTCATGGGGCAGCTGAACGGATGTGTGGCATCATCAGGACGTTGATGGCAGAAGGAACAGATGTTGTTGAGCCCACTGTAGATTCTGGATTTGTAGCTGCTGTGGCCAGAGCGGAGTTGAGGTAGGGTCTTTCTGATTGTCATAAGCAAAACTTCTTTAGACTTGTCTATATTCGGTGTTGGTGGCGGCCATCCATTAGGCAGCACCAGAGCGTGCTCTTACTCGATGGGCGACTGAGCAGCGTTTTTGTAAAGGAAAACGGATGCAGCCTTCAGTGGGGTATTGTTGATGGTTTTAAGAAGCACTGATTGTACTGTTGGTGACCATTTTGAACAGAGGGTGTCCTGCATGTTGCGGTGCGGCGGATCCTGTGTTAGAATGGCGTGGCTGGGGTGCTGCAAACTGTCGCACTGTAGGAAGTATTGAGACGAGATAAGGTACGAATGCTGCCTCATGGAGAGCATCTGGCACTTGTAGAACAGATGTTGTTTTGATGCAATGTTGTGGCTATGTTGTCGTTTATTTTCTGTACATTCTTTTTCAAACCACGGAGCCGATGTCGGTCGGAGAGCGTTAAGAATTGAAAAACAATTCTAATCGGTTTTTTTAAAGAAGTTAAATATGAGTAGCGATATGCAATTAATCTAATACTGAAAATAAAGGCTAATAATGTCAATAAAATCAAATAATTCTTTCAGCCTATTTTAAAACATAAATATAAAGTTATTTTACTAAGAAAAACAATCACATTGCAGATGCTGTTTTTCATTTAGTAGTTTATTCAAGTAAAATTAAGATAGATGCAAATGCCGAAAATATTTTTTGGACTCGGACCTGGGAGTTGGATGGGAAGTCAAAATCAGGAATATTTTACCGGAGTAGGAATTTTTTGAGAGGCCGAATCTGGAGTCGATTATGTTTGATGTCATGATCATTTTTGATGATTTCTTGATGTAATGCTGTTAAATTCTGAAACAACTAGAACGTTAAAATTTAATTTCAAAACTTTATTAGATATGTTTTGTTAATCAAAAAATTGTTTCTCTTGGCAAATATTATTATAGTTTTCTAAGTTATTGATTTAAAATCGTATATACATTATAAAGTAATTTAATAAATGAATAAATTTGATCTTATGTTATAGTTAGATAGCTTTAATTTTAATACACAGGACCGATTGCTAGCATTTTGACAAACAAGTATGGCTGCAGAATGGTGACCATAGTTGGATCTATCATAGCATTTTTAGGCTTTATTATGAGCTTGTTTGCTTCCAATATTTATTTTATGTTCTTCAGTTTTGGAATTGTTTCAGGTGTGTATATTAAGCGAAACTTTAGCGAATGAAAAATAACTTAATGTCATATGAACATTTACTTTCAAGGTATTGGTATTGGGTTGGCTTATTTACCAGCAATCGTTGCTGTTTCGTTTTGGTTTGAAGAAAAAAGGTCTTTGGCTACAGGGTTAGCTGTTTGTGGTGCTGGTGTTGGTACCTTTATTTTTGCGCCGTTCACACATATTCTTATCACGGAATACGGCTGGAAAGGGACAGTGTTAATTGATTCTGCTATTTTGTTGAACTGTGTTATATTTGGAGCTCTATTTAGACCTGTGAAATTAATTCCAGTTACAACTGAACCTACCATAGAAGAAGAATTAATGGATATAAATCCTACATCAATTGTGAATGTTATTTCAGATGTCAAAACAAGATCAAGTCTATTAGATGTATCAAAGTCTGAATCAGATCAGCAACATCATAGACGAAGAGTACAAAGTGAAAGTCAATCTAACAATAAAACTCACCCTGTTTCGAATGTTAATGCTATTCGTAAAGATGCTTTGTACAACGCTTCTTTACTAAATATACCACTTTACAGAGAAAACAGAAAGGAATACACAAAGAGCATGACATCTGTAAATGCCCCTGACCTTGAAACAGTGACCGAAAATGGAGATTGTTCTATTTGCAGTTGTTTGTCTAAAGAAACTCGAAAAGAATGTAAAGAAATGTTGGATATTAAACTTCTATATGACGTTTCTTTCTTATTGTTCTGTATCTCAAATTTTTTGACAAGCGTTGGGTTTGGTGTACCTTTATTTTTCTTGGTAGACAGGGGAATGGATCAAGATTGGGCTAAAGATGGTGATCAACAAGCTCATAGGAAACAACTTTCTCTTCTGATCTCTATTGTTGGCATTCTTAACACTGTTGGGCGTATATTCTTTGGCTGGCTGGCGGATAGGAAATTCGTCAATCGGTTAATGTTATATAACACTGTGTTGGTTCTTTGTGGCTTGTTTACAATTGCCAGCTCGCTTTGTACAAATTTTGCTCTTATGAGTCTATATGCTGGAAGTTTTGGACTTTTAATAGGTTAGTTTTAATAAAATTTCGTTTTTTTTATAAAAATGATTTGTATTAAAATTAACTTTTTCAAACTAGGCGCAAGATTTAATATTAATCTGTCATTTTTTTAATTTGTTGTAAATTTGTGCGCATTGAAACAATATGCATAATTTCTTATTTTGTAATATATTTGCAGGTGTGTACGTTTGTTTAACGCCAGTAGTCCTAGTAGATTTGTTAGGGCTAGAAAAGCTTTCTAATGCGTTTGGAGTTGTGTTGCTATTTCAAGGAATAGGAGGAGTCGTTGGACCCCCTCTTGCAGGTTTCATGAAGCAATTATTTTACCATTACTTGTAAATAAAAAATTAAACTAATATATTTATACTATTGCCAGTCCTGAGCATGATATAAAACTGCATCCACGCTGCCTTGCGTGCTTTTGAGCAAAAAGCTAGGCCCACCGCTTATAACTGGTGGTTGTCGTCAGGATGGGTGTCCAGATGTAAAAACTTTTCCCAGTTGAAGTTGAAGACACTTTTTGTACACCAATGTTTACAATTACTATAATTTAAGAGCGCTTTTGGTATAACAATTTAGGGAGCGCTACATAAATAATTGAATAATACTATTGCTATTAATGAAAACAAACTAAGAGTTTGTCAGAATTTCATTTTTAAAAGCTGTAATACAAAATATGAAATTCTTTCATCTGAATCTGTTTACACTATGGAAGGAGCTGCTTGTTACATCGTTAGGGAACAAATAAACATAAATGAGAAGAAGGAGAGGCAGAAGTTGAATTATTTGGGGAGAGGATATATTAAATAAAAGGTTGCACATGGAAGAAAATTGGTTGAGATGGTTCGAGCCTTAATCAGCTATTAAGTGAAATGTGCTCAATCTTGTAAATCAGAAATCGAAATAGCGATAAAAAAATTCAATGATTTATCAATTAAAATATCAATTTGAAATTTATTTTATAAAAAAGTTACTTATAATAATTGTCGTTAACTTATCTCGTTTCTTTAGGTTACATTTATGATCGTACAAATAACTACGACCACTCCTTTTATTTCGTCGGTGTTGCCATACTGATAAGTGGTCTCATGTTGTATCCGATACCATGTATTAGAAAAAAGTGGGGCCCCAAAGATACGGCAAAAGACATTACACTAGGAAAATTGCCGACGAACGTCACATCAGGAAATGATATAGTTGCTTTGACTAAGAATGATCAAATAGCATAATCGGTATATTAAAATATTTAAAACAGAATATATATATACATATATATATACATATATATGTATATATACTATACATATATATATATGTATGTACTATACATACATACATATATATACATATATATATATTTACGGGTACAGTTTTGATTTTATTTAAGTTTTACATTATTTTAGTTACACATTTTTTTATTTTTATGATTTCAAAATAATGTTCTCATTTTTTTGAAATTGTATAAGATTTTTAAGTGAGAAATAACCCCAAACGAAAAATTTCCTATTAAAGTATGTATTGTTTAATTTTTCGTTGAAAATAAGTCTTTTGAGTAACATCAAATAAAATTAACGTATTAGATGTTGTCATGCAGGTTTACAATGTTTCATGTTTTGTAGAATTATATTGTTTGTTTATTATAACATGTTCATATTATTGTTAATTATTCATATAAGATTGGAATTGTTAGTTAAACTTTGAGATTAGGGATATATAAGATTGAAAAAAAATGATTGCCGTTGCGTATTTTGTCAATAGCCGAATGAGCACACGACAGTAATAAAAACTGTTCCTAATGTAAGAATCAGTCATAAAATTTTTGAAAGCTCGGTGAATGATTCAAACGTGAATCTTAATTCTGGCGATGCAAGAACTGTTTTTTACGAAGAGTTTTTCTGTAAGTTGATAATGAAAAAAGATGTAACGTAATTTATGGTGACGGTCAAATTTCTAAAGCATATGATTTGATTTTAGTAGGGTTAGAACCAAATAATGATTTTTTTTCAGTTGGTTCCTAAAACTATCTTCTAAATGTTTTTAAAACACAAAATTTTCTGATGGTTTATTTTTATAAAAAGATATCGTACAGTTGTCAAGTTACTTCCATAAGCGTTTTTACAACTTGTCCTCATTACAGGGCGCCAAATAAGTTGTAGCTGTAGCGTTTTAGAACTTTTTGATGCTGGTCATTTCGTAAGTTTTAGTATTATTTTGATTGTTGTCAGAATTATCATAAATGTTAGCAGCAGACCGATAAGTAAGTTGAGTACTAATTAGTCAGAAAATTAGCATGCAAAATAAATTTTCTACCAGAACAGAAATAGAGTCTTTAATCTATCGGATGTAAATATGTGTTGAATTCTGAGTGACTTGCAAATATTCCTTAGTTTGTGTATTCCCACTAGGAACTGAAAATTCAATCTTGCGCTCATAGACCTGTTTTTTTATATATATTAAGAGAAAGTGTTTTTCAATTGCAGGAAAAACTTATTTTTGCTTCGTTTTATGTTATATTAACTATTAAGATAATTTGCTCCTAACTATGAGTGCCTTCCCCTTTCAATGCTGGCAGTGTGTTATGTTTGTTAATTCCATTGTTGAGCTTATTTACTGGTCGTCATATGGCAGTATTTATGATTCGTTTCTTTCATTTTGTGTTACTATGAAAACGACGTTCAAATATTGTAAATATGCTTCATGTTTTGTGACTTATAAATTGTGCTGGTCAATAAACTTTTTCATGAATTATAAATTTTGAAGTTGCTCCGTTTAATTTATATCTCAACAAACCGATAACTTATCTCAAGAGATAATGATTAAGTGATTTTTAAAAGAATGTCGTAATCTTACTACTCGATAGCTAACCTGCCGCTGTTGAAATCGCGTGGAGGCCGACCATTATTTGAATTAAAAAAGTTAATATTCAAATATCCCAATTTTTCTTAAAATTTTGTCCAGATTGAACGATTTTCTGATTCGTCGTTATCCGCTTAATATGATTTTCATTGCTTTCAAATAAAGAGATTTTAAACATGACTTGAGGGTTAAAATTTGTATTAGCCTACTCCTAGATAAGCCGTTCGAACTGCTTGATTATTTGTACATTGTTATCTGATATAGTTATTTATCAGCGTTTAAAGGCACGTGGTAATTAAATAAAATGAAAAGGAATGAAGTATCAATATATTGATATCATATGTTGAAAGAATGAGTGAGTTTTTAACCGATGTCGATTTAAAAAATTATAAATATAAGGCTAAATAGTGATGCAACTTGATTTTTAAACGCCTAGAAACACAAATTGTAAAAAATTTATACAATTTTGTATAATTCATTCATTCATTCAAAACAATAATTTGGTATAAACAAATCCTATATTTTATTAAATTATAAACAAGCGATTGCCAGGTAATGGTTTTTTTTTGATAAATAAGAATATGATTGAAATAAAAATGGGGAAAAATATTGTAAATTTTAAATACGTTTTGCCAATTTAAAATGTTGATGCATTTATTTCTCTTAGTTGAATTTCTCTGATTCTATACATACTAGTATCGACTAGAAAATTCAGCACGTGTTTCAGCGATATCGAAGAATGGCTTTCGACACTGAAAAATGTTTCCACATTTTTTATAATTAAAAAAATAACACGTTTTGATAATAAAGATACGTTATGAAATATTTAAAAATTTCATTAGTTAATATTTTTTAGTACAATTATTTTATATTTAATCACTAAATACCATGCCTCTGAAAATAACTCTATAGACGTACCTCACAAATCTATTATACAATAAGCAGTTCTCTTCTACAAAATATGGGTTTTAAAATTGTTTGCAGATTAAGGATTTTTTTTAAATTATATCTTTAATTCTCATTTCTGATTTCTATAGAATATTTCTTACTCAAGCTTAGTTAATTTAATTTTTCGAAAAAATCAAACTATAAATCGCGTAGCATGGTAAGACATGCAAGGAATCATATGACAAGGCGTACAAAAATTGTGAAGAAGTCAAATGAAATGAATATATAAAAAAGTGTAAAATAAAAATTAAAAAATATATAAATAAAATTACATTTTTAAAAATTAGTGTAGTGAGGTTTCCTAAGTCTGCAAAAGCCTCCAACCTTGGCATATTAAGAAACGCGTCCATAACTTAAGAAATAAAATGAAGAGAGAAAAATAAGGCTCCAAAGGAAGATTTCTTTGTATTAACACAAAAAAATTTATAAACTTTTTTTTAAATGTTAGCAATTTTTTATTAATTCATGGTAGAAATAGGAAACGTGAAAAACGGAATGTCACATAAGCTTTTACCCCTTTTTTCTCCTGATCACAAAGTGTCAAATTTTTTTCTCCCTGAGATCATTACTGGATTTATTTTTGTAAAAGTGGCAATCTAAAATGTTTGCTCCCATCCTGTGTCATCTCAATCAACTTTTATAAAACATCTGCGCTAGATGCTTTTAGATCAATATTATCACCAAAGGATCTCCCCTTGAGAATATTAATAGTTTTCCATCTTCCATTCTTCAGTATCAGTTCCACTCATTAATGGTTTTCCATTTTTCTATTGTTTTTTTTCAATGATACAGTGCAAGTGCAATTGTCAACTTCAACTTCCTGTTTGATCTTATCTCCGAGTTTTGCACCAACTTTTGTAAAGTCAGTTTAATTTTTTGATCTTATTTTCCATAATTTTTAGTTGCAATCCTTCATGGCAGACCGTTGTTCGTTGTTTTGATAGATGTATAACAGTAGCAGGATATTTGTTCAATACGTTATCATACCTCAAATTGATGGATAATTATTGCAAATTTTCAAATTTACATTTTTATGATTAAGACTGATTTAAACCATTTTTTTGCCAATTTCCCGTTTTTCAGGATTTTGTGAGATAATCTGTAAATTTGTTTATGTATAACTAGTCTTTCTTCTCTTAGTAGCTGTCGGATTGAAAATCCTAGCGATTAAAAAGACTAATAAATAAAACACCACGAAATAAGGAGTTGATTTGTGCGGGCTTTATAAGCCTATCCAAACGAACACTGTTCTTTTCTTCTCACGCTCACTGCTCTTCTGGTTCGGTGTTCTCATCATCAAACGCAACCGCAACATAGCTCAATTGAAATTTTGTATTTCCATGTGCTCTTGTTGTTTAGCAATTTTTCGTTCTTTATAGATCTTCTATCATTCTTTCAATTTTTACTTTTTGGCTATTTTCTTTTTAATCAAAGCGTCAAGCGTTTCTTTATTGTGCCTATTTTATCTGTGAAGTTTTTAATATAATCTGTCCATCAATCTTTGATCTTGCATCTGTGAAGTCTAAATTTGTTTGCTTATAACTTTTATTATTTTATCCTCTTTTGTTTCTCTCTCTTCTTCAACGTCATTTTTTCTTTTTTTTTATAACTTTTCATTTTATACTTATGCTGTTACATTCGATCTCGGTCAGACTACACTTGTCCTGCATACTTTAGGTATAATCCCGACTACACTTGATGCCGAATACCAGTTTTTTCTATTATTGTCAACAACTAATTACTTTTTATATAATAATAACAACATTATTATTATATAAAGAGTAATTAGCTTTACTATAAAAAGTTGAATAAATAAGTGCATTAAAAGTTTTAAATTTGAAAAAAAATCAAAGAAGTTTAACTTTGAGTTTTCAAGAAAAGCGGGCAAACTGTTCGAGCATGTAGGCCCTGGTAACGAGATGTTATATGATCCTGTACGGAAACATTTACTAGAACCAACAGCAAGCTCAATTAAAATCAATGGACATCAGTAACTTCTGGATGGCTTTGGAGAATTTTTAAAAAATTGGTAGATACTTTGACGCAAAACTGGTGATTGATTTGTAGATTAATGTTGGTATGTTAAACAATGTTGTTTATTGAAAATTAGTCAACGTAATCTTTTCAGTTTTGGGATTGCATTATCTCTTAAACAACAAATTTTGCCGATCTATTTGGTACTGACTGAAATACTGCATTAGACATTTAAAGCGTCATTTCTTGTGGTTCGAAACTTTTATCCAACTTATTTCACATTACTTTTTAAAATCTTAAGAGAATTTAAAAAGAAGTTGAAAACATTTTTAAATTGTTTAAATTAAATGTATTAATATTTTATTTTTAATTTTATTCATTTTTTAAGTTTAAATGTACCAATGTTTTATTTCTAAGTTTATTCATGAAAATTTAAGAACATTGAAGAATTTAAAAGACATTTATTTTACTCATTTATGTTATTGTGTTTTTTTAGGATCAATTACTATGTTATTTCTTATTTTATGGGAGTCAACCCTAGATAATCATTTATTGCTAGGCTGACTCTTTCACTTTTGGTGAATAAATGGAATTAAAAAAAATGACGTTTGTGTAACTTTATTATTTGTTAATAAAAGTTAAATCGCATTTCTGAATTAACAAATTTTTTAGTAAAAATTGAAAATCAGCGAAGAAAATAACTATTGGAACGTGTGCCTCCTCATATTAGTTTTAAAGAATACGTTGGTGAAACTCAGTATTTAGCCAATCATATCTTAAATTAATTACTCTAAAATAATGAAAAATTACTATGTATTAATGATATATGTATATTTTAGTTCGCACAACTTAGATCTTTTCTGTTATGCATCATTTGTCGTGTTTTGTTAAAAATATCCCAACAATAAACACAAACTGCGATTTTAAAACCCAGTAGGGTAGCATGGGGCAAAAAGCCACCTCTAACGTTTGGCGGTTGACCACACCCAACAACTCGAACATTTTTTAAAGTTTAATGTTGCCTTAGCTAGATTGGTATGTCCACTACCTAATTCTACAATTTAAATTATTCAAAAATACACTTTCTGTGTTTTATGAGGAAAACTATAGAGGTCTATCAAAAGAGCTTCTTGCCCCATACCTGGGGCAAAAGGCCCAAATTAAGAAATTAACAAAACAAGCTGTGATTACAATGGTTATAGCTTTAATAGAAACAAAATGCATGAAAAAAAATGCTTTATTATTTTTAATGAAATGACAAAATAAAATTTATTAAAATTTTAATGTTTTGTTTGTAATTTTAATCATCACACTCAATACAACGTTCCCCGCTTGTAATTTTTCCTATTTGTCTGGAACCTTTGCTGCCAACAATTTTCACTGGTTTCTGAACAGTTGAGATTCCAGTTTCGTCCACATTCCATATTTTCATAGCATTGTAATTTCCATTGTTGAGTTTCAAGATATATGTCGAAAAATATTTTTACCTGCTCTTTATTGAAGCCAACTAACCGTGATAAATTTATCGCTTCCGGCTTTCTAATAGATAGCGTTGGATGTCTTTTTAAAAAACCATACATCCAGTCTATCCCTGCCATTTTCATTTCAACCTTGAATGGATGGCTTAATTTCATTTTTTCGGCAAATTCAAAAGCCACTTTCCTGACGTCTGTTGTGGTCATTCCGAAGAGTGATTTTTCCATACTTTTAATAATTTCTACTAGTTCTAGTTCTTGGTCCTTTGTAAAAATTGAGTGAAAATGTCCCAGCCTAATTTTTCCAGGAAATTTGGTCATGGCCATCTGATGCCTTTTTAAAGTTCTTGCAGGGACCCCATATTTTTTGACAGCCGTTTTTAGTGGCAGGCTATTCTGATGCCTTTTTAAAGTTCTTGCAGGGACCCCATATTTTTTGACAGCCGTTTTTAGTGGCAGGCCATTCGTTACTGATTCAACAGCAATTTTCAATGATTCATCATTATAAGACGAACATCTGGTGGATTTTCTTATGTAATTTCTTACCATTTTCAATCTTCAAAAATTAAAATAATTTTAATTTAATTTTAAAAACTTATACAAAAACAAAAGTTTGAAAAAATTTTAAAAATATAATTTTAACTACAATTATTGGCTGCCTTAAGTGAAAATATCTAAAACTTGACAAATAGTTAAAACAATTAAAGTTAGCCTTCTTGCCCCAAAGTAAAAGAGGCGTTTGCCCCAAAAGAGAGCGCGAAGAATAAATTAAATTTTAATTAACAAAAAATTGTTCTAACCAATTTGAAGTTGATTTTCTATATGTAAAAATGATTTCTCCTCACAACAAACTACTCCTAATCACAAAAAATTATGTTATTTTAACAAATTTTAAAAGAAATCGAAAAACAAAAATTATAACACGAGCGATATTTGACCTACAAATTCTTGAAACTTTTTTAATAAAATAACCTAAGCTCAATACCACGCGGTTTTTTATTATAAATAATGTGGGTGCGTTCTATTTTTCAAAAATTAATTTAAAAATTTTCGGACTTGAATTAATTCGGATAAATTTGAAAAAGTGCTTTTTGCCCCACGTGGCGTTTTGCCCCACGCTACCCTACTTGTATATTTTTCAATTTTATATACTATTTCAAATTGTGCACATTTCTAACAAAGTTTTGCTCAAAATTGAAGTAATAATACTACGTTACTTTGGTCCGAGCTGTCAGACCAAGATGACGCTGTTTAAAAATCATTAGACCTAAACTTTGCCTTCAAACGATTCGCTTTTTCCTTCCATTGGGATTTGCTTCAAGAGGTTTAAAAATTAAAATCACTTAGGACAACTAATGTTTTTAATAACATCGCGATTATTTACTTTCTAAGTATTTTTTAAGTGATAAATCAATTATCCTCTTCTTGCATTCCAATATAAATATGTCCTTTGAAAGTCACCACATTTGTGCCACTAAATTTAAATTTTTATTCAAATATTTCGAATTTTCCTGATTTTATTAAGTATTTAACGTTTTTTAATCTCTCTCGACAACCATTATAATCACAATAGAGTATTGATTGAAATAAAAACATAAAAATATAATATTTAATTCCAACTTTCACTAATTAGAAACATTTCCGTCTTTAGTGCTGTAATAAAATTGTGACAACTACGAAATTTACGTCGCTACGCAATAAAAAAAAACAACGCCTTTTTTTTATACAGTCAAGAACACCGTGGTATGTAATGAATGCAAAAAATTTATTATTATTTTTCGGACATGAATGTAGAATAATTTCGCAAATGAAAATTATTTTATCAACTGATTCCAAACGTTTTTACTCAGAGTCGGTAGTTGGAATTTTTTTCCCAGTCGAAGCAATCATGGAGTCGGAGAAAGTTTTATCCGACACTGATCGATAGCCTTGTAGACGGAGAATTGGAAAATTTACATCTGATTATTCATGAATCTGTTAAATTATCCACTATTACTTATAGCAAAATTTGAATCTTACTTTAAACAATTTTTTTCCTTCATTCTAAAATGTTGTTAAAAATTCTATTATGTTGTTCTAACGTCACTCGCATTATAACCAGCTTTACACTACGACTAATTAAAGCTCTCAATTATTGTATTGATATCTCAATTATTTTATTGATTATTAATTTTAACACAACTGTATTTATTTGTTTACTAACTAACTCACTCACTCACTCACTCACTCACTCACTCACTCACTCACTCACTCACTCACTCACTCACTCACTCACTCACTCACTCACTCAATCAATCAATCAATCAGTCAATCAATTATTTATTTATTTATTAGTAATCCTAGATCTAACTTTTTATTTAACAAAAACATTTAGTCACGTCAGTGAAATTTTCGGCCCTCCATTTCCATATTGTTATGATTAGTAAATTTATAATCCATTGTTTATAAAAAATCTAATGGAGTTGTTAACTTGTGATTAAAAATTTCTCGTTTATTTTTATTTATTTTTGAAAACTTTTTAAATTAAAATTAGATATTTCGAATTTTCTCGATGCTATCTGAAAAATTTCCTGATTAAATTTTTTTTATACCTATCACACCATTTTCAAGTATTAACGCACGTAAGAGGGAGCGGAACATGCATTGAACAATAACGTATTCGCGTAAAAATGCTGTCAAAATAATAATTAGTCACGACAATCGTTGTATTTATTCATTTTGATCACTATTTTATTTAATTTTTAAATTTTATTAAAAGTTTTAAATTTGAAAAAATTAGATTTTAATTTTTGAGTAAATAATTATAAATTTATTTGCTAAAAGAACAAAATTGTGTTAAGTCTGTTTGGATGTCAACGACGAAAACCTGAAATACATGTTGTTTTATAATACGATTGAGTATGGTGGCACTTAAACCGCTTTTTTTCTATTTTTCGTTGTTTGACGGCAATGTTGAACTTAAAAGCCTGTAATATTAACTTAGTGTGCAAACAAAATCTAAATTCATTTTGCATCAAATGTCTAAAAATTGTCCAGAGCCTGAGCACTAAAGAATGATTGCCCAAAGTTGTTTTATTCACCTAAAACAGAACTGTGAGCTATCTCAGGTTTGCTGCTGATGTTGATTGACTAGCATCCAGTGGATGGCGTTTACATTACAAGTGGTTCTTCCATAAAACTAAACAAACATAATAACGTTAATAAAGACAAAGTAAAATCGGAAAAACTAAAATGTGTTTACTAGTTAGTGTAATCGAGCAGCAATCAACATGAACAATTCTTTCAACGTAATTGACAGAAGAAAATTTTTTGCACCAGAAATATTTCTATCATGAGAAAACTAGAAAATATGGAGCGGTGGCGGTCTATTTAACTAAAGTTCAAAAATAGAAACATATGCATGTTTTCAATATTGTTATATGCAATGTAAAATTTGGACAGCAAAGAAAAATGTAAAAAACGGATTAGAAGCACACTACAGAAATTTTGATGATTAGTTAGATACAGAAAGTAAGAAAAAAAAAGCATAAAAAAGCGGTTCAAAAACAGAAAAGTATATGGGAAAAGATCAAAATAAACAGGTTAAGTATTTTGGACATATTTACCAAATGTTAGATTGATTAAAAATATAGGATAATCGGAAGATCTGGGAAGAATTATCTTTGGATAACCTTAAACTGTAGACAACGTTGAATTTGGTAAAATTGAACGATAATGAAAAATTATTTTGGAAAATGATTTAAAAGACTTTTACGATCCCTTAAAAAACTCAAAAGCATCTTTGATTGGTAGTGTGGCAGGAATTTCCTCATTCCGTACCGCCAAAATTAATATAAGCATATAAGCAAGACGATGATACTGGCGTTGAAAGAAATTAAAGAAATAATTCAATCGAATGGAATCTAGTTTGTTAGCTGGCTCAAAAGCAGTAACGAGATGAGGTTAAATATTTTGTGGGGACTATTGTAAAAAGAATTTCTATTGCATGTTGTATTTATTTTACAAAATAGATGATCAAATAAATTTCATCCACCAGTTTTTCTCGTTTGCATTTAAATTTATTTGCTGTAAAAAAAAGTCTAAATTATATTTAATTTAATAACAATATTAATGAATTCAACAAAATTTCAAAATTCTTTTTATTTTCAAATGTAGAAAAATAATAAAATTAATTTTTTCCTCTAAAAAATTTTTGTCTTTCAAAAATTGAAAACCCACTCAAATCGGTTTTAACTTCTCTAATTACAACGAAGGACATGTCTTGAAGAATCTTAGACGTAAATTAACAGATCGAACTTTTCATTATGAAGATGAGCTGGCAAATAGGGAAGTGTTTTTCAACAGGCCGATTAAGTCAATTTAAATAAGTAACGTTATAGGAAGTACCCCGGATTCCATTTTGTGAGTGAATAAAGGACATGACTGCCTCACTTATTTATTAGAAACAGTCAAGAATTGGTTAGAGAAGAAAAATTAGTTTTTCCGTTAAATCAATCTGGACAAAATAATAATACTCATATGATATTTATTTTAAACAATGTAGAATATTTTGCTCTTATTGTTGCCTTAGTTTTAGCAAAACGTAAAATAACATAACACAACATAACACAACTTAACGTAGCCTAACATAACGTAGACAGAAAATAATGAGACGTGAACAGTCGTTCCTATACCTCCAACAAAATATATCCGTCAAAGAAAAAGTATAAATAATAATAATATATAATAATAATAATAATATATAAATAAACTACAATAAAATAATACAAAATAAAAGAAAATACCTATATAAAACTATAAAGCACTTGCGTGTATGAGCGCGCACACATGGGTAAAATGAATTAAAATGAATATTATTTTCTTAAATTTGCTAGTCAACCACGTCTTTTAACATTTCTTTGTACTTCCAAAGTAACAGAAAGAAAGAATTTTTAAATGGCAGGATAGCTATTATGTGTATATCACTGTTGTCTAGCAAGCTACTCCGGTTGACTTCATGAGGCACAAAATTTTAACACATTACTTTGTAAATGTTCTGGAATTGGATAAAGGCTTTATCTGTGTGCGTTTTGCAAATGTTGTTTTATTCTCAAGTTTTAGTGAGATATAAATTTAAGATTAATCACGATTTTTTGCTTTAATACTTCTTTATAATAAATTTTTGAAATTGAAAACTGAAGCGCAAACTTTATAAACACGAAAAGTATATATTGAAATATATTTCTCCCGAAGAAAGCAATAAAAATTAAAAGCATTTCTAGAGGTCACATTATTGTCAGCAGGAAAATAAGAAGCGTAGATTTGCCGCTGACAATTATCGTTCAAATATTCCCGGAAGTATAGGAGCTGCAGTGAGACAAATCTTTTGTTCATCACAATGCTTATGTCGTTCGTGTCAGTTTACTTACATATTCCCCTATGATATTATTTAATGAATCTCTGCAGTTTTATGCAAATTTGATATGTTGTCCTTGCGTCTCAAATTTTATCAACTAAAGCGTTTATAGAGTTTTTTTTTCAATTTGAAATCGATTCACAACGTTAATAAACGAAAATTTAATTTATCTTTTGACCGTGGATATTTTGTTCAAAAAATATATTCACTAAAAAATATTTGCTTGTAAATCATTGGTTGGTATATGAATGAAGCTAATTAAATCCGACCAATGCGGGATGCGAATCCACAAACCAGACTCCGCCCCCAAATGAACAACAATGCCAACAACAACAACTAGTCGGTTATTGGACAGCTTACATGACGCCCAATTTGTGTAAAAACGGCATCTCCAGTATTTCACAATTTACATGTTATATATATGTTATTTATATATATATATAAAATCTAAGTACATATGTGTATATATATAATATTTTTGAATTAAAACGTTGTCGTTAGAAAATTTACGAAGGCCACAAGCTGTTGCTGTTGCATTTCGTTCACCATGTCTAAAAAAAACGCCTTGAATTTTACAATTGAAAATTTGATATACGCGGATGTAACTAAATGTAAAGGTTAGTTTATTTGCTTTGTTCATTTTGATATATGTTCATTGAAGATTTTGCAAAATAATTTTGAAGATGTGGAAGGCGGAGGCACTTGTGTTTCTATGGAAGCTACCAGACATAGCACTGGCGTTCCAAATAATCACGATAATGCTGAGTTAAACCAACGTTCAACTTATTCTGGGCTAAACATGGGATTAAATTTTTATGGAGAAATGATGAATAGTAATTATCAAAATATTCAAGACCTGAAAAAATACCAAACGAATGTGAACGGCGGTTGGTGGGCCAGTCAAAATATGTGGCAACATTCGTATTTTCACAAAGCATTCAGATCATTTTTCTTTCATTGCAACATCAGTCGATACCACAAGCCAATATTCTTCATGAGAAACTTTTTCAACTGCCCAACATCCAGCACAAATGAGTTTTATTTGCAGCACATGGAAAACGTTGGATCCTTTCCAAAAAATCAACATAAAGAAATAAATTCAAATAAAATTAGTGACGAAGACGATGATTTAGAGTACAAAAAAAATTTAATGAACGTTTCAGGACAGAATATAGAGCATATAAGCTGTGACGATAAAAGAAAAAACCTGGCAACTAGTACCGCTAATGATTTTAATAACAAAAATTTTAAAAAATTTGATATGAATTCAAAAATAAATCAGTTTTCAAAAAATGTAAAAATTGAAAACCACATTTTAAAAAATAACTCGGTTCCAAAAATTTTTAAATGCCCTGAATGTGGAAAGACATTTAACGCTCATTATAACCTGAACAGACACATGCCAGTTCACACGGGAGCGCGACCATTCATTTGCAAAGTTTGTGATAAAGGCTTTAGACAGGCAAGCACGCTGTGTCGTCACAAAATAATTCACACCTCCGATAAGCCTCACAAATGTAAAACATGCGGCAAAGCATTCAACAGATCTTCTACTCTCAACACACACATGTTGATTCATAGAGGATACAAACCATTTATATGCGATTACTGTGGTAAAGGATTTCATCAGAAAGGTAACTACAAAAATCATCGTCTGACTCATTCGAAAGAAAAACAATTCAAATGTGAAATATGTCATAAAGCTTTTCATCAAATATACAATTTAACATTTCACATGCACACACATCAAAAAAACAAACCGTTCACTTGTAAAATTTGTGGGAAAGGATTTTGTAGAAATTTTGATTTGAAAAAGCATTCGAGGAAACTGCACCAGGACGAAACTCATGCCGAGGCATTCAAATCCTTCTACAACATTTACGATGAGCAATGTTACGAAATGAATCAGAAACTGAAAAGCCGATCATATAACATGTTTAACAACCTGTATCTACCATCCAGAACTTCTTTAAGAAACTGTGAAAATTACACAAACACACATAAAGTTTGTGGCACGTTGAAGCCATCGTCTTCATCGATCAATCTGCAACCGATCACTTTTAATCATTTTGAATCTTCTTCAGATTACCCTTACGTTGTAAGTTAATCCTCAATGCTATCAAAAACATAATAAGCCGTTAAATAGAAAATTGTTTCAATAGTTGTTATTCTGTTGTGATTTTACTGACTAGGTTTTGTGTATTAACATTTTATTTTAACCATAAATTCGAATAATATAAAAAAGAAAAAAATGCTATTTACATTAATAAAAATTACATTAGCAGATATATGTACACAAGTACGCATATACATTTATACACACATACATTCATACACATACACTTATACACATACTACACTTACACACGCATACAAAAAACACACACAAACACACACACACACACACACATATATATATATATATATATATATATATATATATATGTATATATATATATATGTGTGTGCGTGAGTGTTGGAAGGAGACCATATTTTATACAGTATTGTATGAATTCTACCAAATTGTTGGCATTAATAAATTTATAGTTTGTCTTTTCAATTTTTCTTGCTAGAATTTTTTGGAAACTGTTCAATTTATTTAAAATAGAATTTTTATCCAAGTACATCATGAAAATTTAATAAAACTGTTGTTATCCAAATTCATCATGCAGATAATGTCATATTTCGATTTTTCACAAATCATCTTCAGTGCTGGTTTGTTTCATATAGTTTTTTTAGTTTTGCCTCTAACTTCCGGGAAAAATAAAGCAATCGCTGCTCGCGTTTTTTCTCTTTCTATATAAACCAAACAAACGTGCACTGATAATGATTTTGTGAAAAATCGAAATAAAGCGTATCTGTATGATGAATTTGGATGACATCAGTTTTATTAAATTTTTTGGTTGAATTTGGATAATAATTCTATTTTCATAAATTTATTTAAATTTAACAATTTCCAAATAATTCTAGTAAGGAAAATTAAAAAGACCAACTTTAAATTGATTAATGCCAACAATTCGGTAGAATGCATACTTTTTCTATTTATTTACTTAGTTATTCTTTCATTTATTTATTAATTTGTCATGTTGTCATAAATACCAAATGACAAAAATTAAAAAAAATATTTATGAAATTTTAAATTTACAAATAGGAGTTAACAATCTGGTTGATTTTTTTAAACTTTCTATTTCAAAAATGTCAATGTTAATTGAAACAATATTAGAGCTGAAATTGGAGTTTGTTTTTTTTTACAACAATTACAGATCTGAGCCTTGGATCGGTACGTACGAAGCTGCAAAAGCAAAATCGTCCGCACGAGTAGAAACAGATTTAAGTAATCATAAATAAAAACTATGATTCTCAATTTTTGTTATTTTCAAAATTAAATAGATAATTGTCAAATTTAATATATAGAATAAAATTATTTAGTTATTCAGTTAGTAAATCAGCTAATTTTAAATAAATGTCATCTAATAATATAAAGTTATGATGTAAGTATTTTAAAGCATCTTAAACTATTTTAACAAATTGATGCCAAATTAACACAATTTTTTCAAACTGATCGTTTCAAGTAATCGAAACCTTTCCAGACCAATATGACATTTAGCTGTATTTATAAAATTATGATAATTTGACTTGATTTTAGATATTTTCAACAACTAACATTATTTAACTGAATAGTTACGATGTTTACTGGTTTATAAGAATCCAGATGACGAACAATTTCAATTTACCCTTTTAGTAATTGTAAACTCTTGTCACAAGTTTAATTCAGAGTAACTTAATTTTAACTGAATCAATCACTCAATCAAGCAATTAGATTTAGATTTCACAAATATATGGGTCTTGAGATTCGCACTAACCTTTGTAAATGATGGAGACGTAGTTTGAGAAAGATATAGAGAGTTTCAGAGAAAAGGGCCAAAAAACAAACGCTGATTTAGCATAAGAGGGTTTAACACGAGTTAAGAAGTGAAAACGAGAAGACATCGTAAATTGAAGGCGTTTAAGTTGAATTTATATATCTAATAAGTACTTATTTTAAAAATTATTTTATTTTATAGGTAGCCAGTGCAAGAAAACAAGGTATGGAAAAGAAAGGGGCACGAACAACCTGACGTGCAGCAGAGTGAGGCGAAAGCTTTACTTAAACGATAGAGTGTAAAATCAAGAAGACCATAGTGAAGCAAGTTATAATAATGAATGCTAGATAAAACTAATGAAGAAACAAATAATAGAAGAGTAGGATCGTCAGAGAAAGTCAAAAGTTATTATTCCATCTAAATAAAAGTAATATCTTCTATCAACACTATTAACCTGAGAAGAAAGAAACATGATAGAATCAGAAATAAAGCATAGACTACGATACTTATGAGAAAAATCGAAAGTTTTAGAAATGGGTCAAATAAAATATTGAAATTTTATCTGAGCTATCATAATCATAATGATAGATACTGTCGGATCCGAGTCAGAATCCGGAGTTAAGATACATGCATGTTCATAATTAAATATATTGTAAACCAAATTTTATCTTAATTTAGAACATCAAGAACGATAATTAATTTGGCACTTCACACTTCAACACACGTCGTTTTATCACACGTTATTTAAAACCAAAAAAAACACGTTTTATTCTGCTGTATAGTTACAAACAATTGTTGATCAAAAAAGTAGATTAAATTTTATTTTACGGTTTATAGCTAAAAATATTTTACTAAATTAATTTTTAACTCGAATTCATTCAATATCCGGTTTTTATCGAATCTCCAGCGTTGGGTTCCAGCATTTTAGTACGAATCCGTTTTCGGACATTCCCACTGTATCGCTTTAAAAAACCTAAATTTATGTTTTCACTCTTTGTGTATATTTCTCTCATAAATAATAAATATTATTATTTCATTGAAATAAGACAAGCTGAAATGTTGATGAATATTTCATGTCTAAATTGAAAATAAAATGCAGCACATGCGTCTTTCGTGGAAATTCACATCACTTCATCAAAATGTGCTTTGTACCATTTTACAAACATTTTTATAACAGTTTAAATGATAATACATTTCAATAATTTAAAATACATGTAAGAAATAATTTTTGTACTGTATTTTTTTGCTATACATTAATTGTAATGTTTTTTGGTATAATCCTCTTTGTAATGTTAAACATTTTTACATTTTTTGATGATTATCGCTTTTTTCAAGAAATAACGAAGTTAATTTTTTTTATCAATTTGTATGTTTTTTGATGGCTGTAAATGAGCGTTATACCGGTATTGTAGAAAATTTGGAAAGAGTACATTTAAAATATCGGTATAGTTCACTTTAAAATACGAGGATGCAAAATTGAACTTGGTATCAATTGGCTAACTATTTCAAATTTTTACAACCTAGAAACAATTATATAACATTTCTATAACATTTCACATTCAGTTAAATCTTGAAAAGCTTACAAAGCGAACAGGAAGTTGTTAGGAAAGACGAAGCAATCCTTTTTTCTTCAGTTGCATAATGAGTCAAAGGAATAGATCGTGTTCAACGAAGCGTGAATTATGATATTAAACTACTCCCATTCAAAACTTCTACATCCAATTAGGCCTGCATATGTATTAATCTATTCATTATAACCAACTGGTTTTTTGTTGTGTTTTAATTAAATATTAAAAATCATTATATTTAATAAAAATGCCCTATTGCTTTTTTGCTTATCAATAGTGTTAATAATAATAATGATAATATTAATGTTTTTGTTTGTATTCTTATTATTTACTTTTCAAGAATGCAATTAGTGATCGTTTCCAATTTCTGGAAAAAGATCTTCGGCATTATATTCCAGAGTTAACTGAAGGAAGGGTGCATTGATGAGAAATTCGTTCCCTCTGCTCATAAATACTGCCGACGTTCCTAATGAACTTCTGGGCGAGTTTTTAAAATTTGAAAATGATTCAAAGAAAAATCGTTAAGTGATATTTGGTGTGCGATGCAACATTCGAATCCAAACGTTACCCTAGAATACTAGTGCCATTTTCTTCTATCTATCGATCTTTGTGAAAGTAAATTTTCAACCCTTTCAAAAATAAATACAAAAGCTAGAAATAAATTGCACGTTGAAAACGACATGCAATTGGTTTTGTCGTGTACTTAAACTAGAATTCAAGAAATAATTAGTTTTTACCATTATATTATAACATTCAAGTATTATTTTACTGTTTAGCTCAAAAATAAGTTGTTTAAATTTTCAATAGGAATCATGAACTTCTCGAGAAAAACTAAATGAAAAAGGTTGAGAAGCACTGATATTTGATAGGTGAATCGATTCAATCAATCTCGATGCAGCTCGAACTATTTTTTTAACGTTCAAACTCAACGCAGTTTAACATTGCGCCATACCTTTCATATATTTGACTGTAGACGACATTTCTCTATATGAACTCAGCCGATGAAAAAGCAAAAACAAACGTGAATATCTGCGTTAACCGAATCAATATCCAAATACTATATAGAGACCTTTTAAAATATTCATTAACATTCAAATCCTCGTGATCTACTCTGTATAACATGCTCTCTGTTAATTGTTGTATTTACCGTAAAACGATTAACGAACGTTCGATTTTCCGTTTTTTCCCTAACCCTAACCCGAAAATTAAAGTTTTCTAAAATAATTGTGGTGCTGGTTGAAAAAATAGTTGAAAAAAATTTATCGTCTACACGCTGTTTATATTTAAAATTTTTAACATTATTTTATCATAACAACAATTGAATAAATATTTCTTCAATTTTATTTTTGATCGAAACAATACATCATCAAATATGGATGCAAATAGCTTGCTACAATATATTTTGCAATGATGCAAAAATTCATTGTTCATTGTTTCCAAATCTTTACACAATGCCATGCCAATCTTAAAACGTTAGTCAAAATCAAGCCTTATTTTTGAATCTATATACTGTTGTGTTTCAAACCTTTCTTGAATATTCTTTTAACAAGCATTGATGTCCTGTATTAAATTATTTATGGTGATTGTCTTCACAGATACACACACACATACACACACACACACACACACACACACACCACACAAACACACACACTCACAGACACACACAGACACGC